ACGTTTGATGACTGGAAAACACTCGTGAATCTCGACGTCATAGTAGAGGATACAAAGTGAAATATTTCTGGCCTTATGGACAAATCCGCTCACTTTCAGTCGAATTTAGTTCTGGCAGAAAGCTCAACAGATTCCGGCTAAACCCCTCGACTGTAATGCTCCGCTTCTGAACTTAGTTCAAATTTTCGGACATAATTTCATCTTTCTGTAAGGTAGTTCTACCTGGTTGGGGGCACTTTGAAGACAAGGACAAAACATTCCAGCTTTGCATCTCTGAGATTCAGATTTTTCTTTCGTGGAAAATTCCTATCGGGCTCCGACGATCAATGAAAGTGTCATCCATTTCTGGTTGCTATACCTGGGTGAGAATCGCCACGTTTACCTTAATCTTGTCGTGAATTAAATCTCCCGAACAGAGTTTTATTGAGGTACATACAGATGAGTGGTTAGTGAAAGTATGGGATGAATCAGCTTTAAAATGCTCCTTAGTTTTTTCGACATTTGTAGGTTTCATTTGCAGAACGAAATCTCAGGTGACAATCAGTACATACAAAAATGAATTTAGTGGAGTAAAACGCGTTTTCTTTGTTGGATAGTAAACGGGAACAGTGTCTTGAACTGAAGACATAGCTGATGCAACTCGAGGTTGAAAAGCTGAGCTAAGGTCCTAGTCGCTCTTTTGGATCCGTTGAGCACAGGACACGATGGATGTTTGAGAACCCCATATTGTCCTTCGGATTAGTGTTGTTTCACAGAGGAAGGGGGAATTAGAAATCTGCAAATAATTTCTAAACTACAGCTGATCGGATGTGGGCGCGTGTGTCTGGCGACTGAGACCTGAGTAATATTCATAAGGCCTGGTTCTTGATTGGCGAGAACTGTGACCTTGGTCGATCGATTAGGTTAGTCCATACGTAAAGCTACCCTGATGCACCTCCTTTACTCGTTTTTTTTTGAATCCACAGTCGATGCTCTCCAGCATGTTCCGCTTATATTCACGAAAGGCGAAGCTCAAATAGTAGGTGTGATAATCATTCCGAATCGAATTACTAGGCGCTCTTTCTTGAAATGAAGCTTTCAACCTCATGTGTTACAGATTAATTCACCTCTGTTTGCAGTGCCTCCTTGGACCGCGTGAAGTTGAACCTTTAATCCGGTGACTACATATCTGCCGTCTACACATGAGCGGTTGCCGACGCTGAGTTTTTACAGTGGTATCCTTCAGCTGATAGACAGAGACTCTACCAGCATCCAAACTAAAAATTCTTTCACGCTGCGGTCAGGTGTACTGCTGACCAATGGATTGATATTTGTGAGCAAATTAGCAACAATCTAATCAAGTCCCAAGTCTGGGTTATGGCTTTCTAATAGCATTGTAGCATCCACTGGAGGACATCTAACTTGTTGTCATAGTCTCTCCGTTCTCGAGGAGCATACAAAATGTTTTTGATGGAGTCAAATAATAGTGGTTAGGAATTGTGGCAACCAGCTGAAATATGGTTGACAACGTCCCACCGAAGGAGTCAAAAGCGTAATGGGGTAAGGAATTTGTCGGGTGCAACAAGGATAGCGCTTCGATCCCCAACAGAACCTTTCGCACAGAGGCAGCCTCATGTTTCAGCTGTTACAACATTTAAGATATCACAGTAGATTCTCATGAAGGAAACTACTCATAAGTCTGCTGAAAGCCTTTCGACAGCCCACCATCGATTTCGTCTTCTTTGTGTCACATCAGGTAGGCTGGTTCCCGAGTTTCCGTTAAACTTACGTTTTACTTGAACCCCACAGTACACAGAATTTGACAAAACACTCATTTGCTCATCGGTTTGGTTTTCAAGAGAGACCCACTTGCGTCGCAGATGAATACCATAAACGCGAAATTCAGCCTGGATTTAGGTGAGTCTACTATGAAAACCAAATCGGTGTGCGGATGAGTGTATTCGCGTCAGATAAAATCTTATTCTTCCTTTCTCGCAGTCGGTTGTTGGGACTTATCCTCTCACGCGGGTTAATTTGATCACAGAATGTCGATTAAAACCAATGAGCAGTCAGTCGCGGCATTAAAACACAAGCTCGCCTTCGGCGAGCACGTTTACAACGCGCCTGACGTGATACTCCTCAAAGTCAGATTTACCAGCCCCGGGATTATCTAAAGTGCATCAAGAGAATTTCCACTGAAGGCAAATTCAAAGTCTCCTGATGGTAATTTTATGGTCATTGAAGTTGAATTTAACAAGTTCTACGAGATAAAAACTTCTAAGCGTGCAACAGGGTGTGTCTATTTAATCCGAGTCCCTCGCTTGGTTATCATAACGCCCAATGCACCTAATACCCAACAAGAACAAGCATGCAAGCACGTCAGTATGTGTTGGTCTGCTCATCATCACCACTATGTTGCTTGCGGTGCGTTTCTTCCTACGGTAGATTGGCCCAATGCGCAAGGTTACAATCTCAGTGTCAGTGGAGCGTGATGAGAACCCTTGTGCAAACACGTTTGATGACTGGAAAACACTCGTGAATCTCGACGTCATAGTAGAGGATACAAAGTGAAATATTTCTGGCCTTATGGACAAATCCGCTCACTTTCAGTCGAATTTAGTTCTGGCAGAAAGCTCAACAGATTCCGGCTAAACCCCTCGACTGTAATGCTCCGCTTCTGAACTTAGTTCAAATTTTCGGACATAATTTCATCTTTCTGTAAGGTAGTTCTACCTGGTTGGGGGCACTTTGAAGACAAGGACAAAACATTCCAGCTTTGCATCTCTGAGATTCAGATTTTTCTTTCGTGGAAAATTCCTATCGGGCTCCGACGATCAATGAAAGTGTCATCCATTTCTGGTTGCTATACCTGGGTGAGAATCGCCACGTTTACCTTAATCTTGTCGTGAATTAAATCTCCCGAACAGAGTTTTATTGAGGTACATACAGATGAGTGGTTAGTGAAAGTATGGGATGAATCAGCTTTAAAATGCTCCTTAGTTTTTTCGACATTTGTAGGTTTCATTTGCAGAACGAAATCTCAGGTGACAATCAGTACATACAAAAATGAATTTAGTGGAGTAAAACGCGTTTTCTTTGTTGGATAGTAAACGGGAACAGTGTCTTGAACTGAAGACATAGCTGATGCAACTCGAGGTTGAAAAGCTGAGCTAAGGTCCTAGTCGCTCTTTTGGATCCGTTGAGCACAGGACACGATGGATGTTTGAGAACCCCATATTGTCCTTCGGATTAGTGTTGTTTCACAGAGGAAGGGGGAATTAGAAATCTGCAAATAATTTCTAAACTACAGCTGATCGGATGTGGGCGCGTGTGTCTGGCGACTGAGACCTGAGTAATATTCATAAGGCCTGGTTCTTGATTGGCGAGAACTGTGACCTTGGTCGATCGATTAGGTTAGTCCATACGTAAAGCTACCCTGATGCACCTCCTTTACTCGTTTTTTTTTGAATCCACAGTCGATGCTCTCCAGCATGTTCCGCTTATATTCACGAAAGGCGAAGCTCAAATAGTAGGTGTGATAATCATTCCGAATCGAATTACTAGGCGCTCTTTCTTGAAATGAAGCTTTCAACCTCATGTGTTACAGATTAATTCACCTCTGTTTGCAGTGCCTCCTTGGACCGCGTGAAGTTGAACCTTTAATCCGGTGACTACATATCTGCCGTCTACACATGAGCGGTTGCCGACGCTGAGTTTTTACAGTGGTATCCTTCAGCTGATAGACAGAGACTCTACCAGCATCCAAACTAAAAATTCTTTCACGCTGCGGTCAGGTGTACTGCTGACCAATGGATTGATATTTGTGAGCAAATTAGCAACAATCTAATCAAGTCCCAAGTCTGGGTTATGGCTTTCTAATAGCATTGTAGCATCCACTGGAGGACATCTAACTTGTTGTCATAGTCTCTCCGTTCTCGAGGAGCATACAAAATGTTTTTGATGGAGTCAAATAATAGTGGTTAGGAATTGTGGCAACCAGCTGAAATATGGTTGACAACGTCCCACCGAAGGAGTCAAAAGCGTAATGGGGTAAGGAATTTGTCGGGTGCAACAAGGATAGCGCTTCGGCTTGGATCCCCAAAACAGTGACACTGGCACCTTCGGCCACGAGTCAAGCTGGGATTCTGTTTGCGAGGCAGAGTTCTGGTCAGTGACAGACTTTAGAGAAAGGTGTTTTTCAACAGTCCTTCCGCACCAGATACTTGAAACTTCAACCGTTTGTACAGAAGAGCTATAAAGTATGAAATACAAGGCTATCGCTTTAGTTTTATAACCTTCCAAATGGTGTGTGCGAAGTTTTTTTTACAAAACGTACGCTGAGAAACTTGTGAATTGAATGTGGCAAACACCTCTGCTGTCTTTCATGAAGTTATCTTGTTAGATGTGTCGAGTAGAAGCAAAGCTTTGGGCGTCCTGATCCTCGCTTGATGCGATCAGTACACGAATGGACGAAGTAAAGTTGTCCAACCAAGCACCGTGACAAGGTGATGGAGTTCGCCTGATATACCGTCTCCACGCCCGAATTTAGACGAGTATAGGAGGGATGGATTGATGAACATCTTTTTGACGAGCTATTTTTAAGTTATGCACTTCCAAAGGTTGGACAGACGGCTTCGCATCAGTCTGGACAAAGTTCCGCCCACTGCAACCTTTCAAATCTGGTCCACAACCAATCGTCTGTATTTCTCTAGTTTCACAGACAGAGTGCTTATCCATGCCCGAATCGCTTTGGTATACTCATTCTTTTGCTACCATGCAGCGAAGTACGTTGGGCGCGGGACGACACACATCGGCCAAAGGATGAAGGAAGCCAGGACAACATGGTTGGCTTCGGGAACTTGAAGAAGGACAACCATCTCAGTCGTGCAGCATTTAGCAGACAGGCCGCACAGCGTGGTGCCCAGCTGAGGTTTCCGTATGGTTTACAAGGTGCCTGCTAATCAGCCTAGATCGGTAAGCAATCTCCCAATCAAAGCAGATGCGGTTTTTGTCATCCGAGGTCACAACACAATTCCATCTGGTGTTGGTGGCTGCGGAATTTTTGTAGGACGCACACTGACATAACTCTTGTTGGAACAGACGTTCTCCTGTCCTCGCACAATTGTCCTTGTATGTCCACACTTCAGTTTCCCTCCTAGTAGAGCGCAATCAGGAGTGCATATCTAATGGTCGTACCGGGGATTGAACATCTGCCATGCGAGGCGAGTGTGCTACCACTATTCCACCAGCGCACGCTGGATGCATTGGGATTTTCACGTTTGAACATGTGAACATGTTCGCGCCTAAGTGACGTGGGCAGGACGCTTGACCCCTCGAACGACCGCCATTCGATATTCACACCTGATTTCGCACCAATAAGAGTGCTACTCGAGTCCATCGCTTCACCCCTTTGGTGTGAACTCAACAGGACAATTTGGCGAGGAGGATTGCTCAAACGAGAGTCATGTGAGTGTGTGTTCGACAATTCTTTCTCCTCAAAAAAGCATCGTTCTCGAATTCGACATACCATGGTCCAGCTCAACCTCTGTGTGCTAAACACAAGCACAATAATGCATTCACCAGTAACTTCAGTTCATTCCTAAATGGTATCACATGTTGTCGCTTGCTTGGCTTCCTTTAAGATGGCCAGATTTCCCACCAAATGCTGTGACCGTGTGACTTGAAAAGACTGCCGAAAACAGGACATGGGTGGGAGTTTTTGTTTATCAAATCAGCTGGTTCTTCCATGGTTACTTGGAGAAAAATGACAGCATATCACTAGCTGATAGGCCGAACGTCCTCACCGGGAGAATGGTAGTGATAATCCAGTACATTGGGTCCTTGTCTGATACATGTTACTAGTTCGTTTTCTATAGCGGAATAGAACTCTATGAGTTTTTCTCCGTTGGCCGATCTACCCCAAAAAAATATGGACAAAATGTTTTTGGGACCCAAACAGTTGGTGTCAAATTGTTGAAGGAAACAATCCGATTGGAACGGCTTCTTGGACTGGGAAAGGATTTGTTGTGAATGCGATGAATTCTTAGTTTGTTTGAGTTCCTAACCTACAATTTATTAAATGTTTAGACTTTACCACGTAAAAATGCAGCTCATCAAATCTGCGTTTTCTAGAAACGGGAAATCACATCCGTTTGCAATTTAGACTCATCCGCATACTAAGTTGGTTTTGATGGGAGACTTGTCTGAAACCAAACTAAATCCATCATTCGCATGACCTTACTTAACTAACCGTGCTGCATCAGGTCACCACATGTCTCAGTTGATGCGGTATTCGAGAAATTGCAATACACACACTACTCATAATGTTGTTGAGTACTCTTCAGCAGCCGTCGACCGTTTTCACGCTTCTTGGGGCTCTTCGGGTGGGCGAAGTCCTCGAGTTCCCATCATCCTTTCTAAGTGAACCCAAAATGCACGAAATTCTACTCATACGTGTTCGAGTAGAAGACATGTTTGATGGAAAATTGGGAATTAGTACTAACCAAAGAACATTAAGAATGCCGGAACCGGTCATGCATGTAATGTGACACATATGTTCCCCTTTGTCAGACTCCTGCACATGTTTTACAAGTTCGCTTTATGATTTGAAACCAGCCGAAGGAAACCATTTCGAGTCATCATTCAGGTGTTACAGACGGACATTAACAAGCAAGCGTCACAGAAAGAGTTTTGATTTGTGGTCCAGCCTGTAACAAGTAATATAACTGTTATTCTGCTTACAACCGAACCAGTCTATTGCATATGATTGTGAAACTATCTGGTACTCTTTTTCACATATTGTGTAACTGGGACGGCGACGTTTTTCCGAGGGTGTGGGGAAAACCGAGGCTACTTCTGAACTGATAACATCTTTCGAACTGCGTTCGCCTAATGTCACAGTCGTGGCGCACACGATGTGGTCACTTTTTGAGGTTATTTGAAACACAGCGGGACAATGATTGTTACTTGGCAATTCTAGTGTAAATTTGACCGTGTTGCGTGACGAGATTATGGCCACAAGTTCATCATGTATACAGAAACCGTTTGTTCAACGTCCAAATACGATGGTGGGGCTGTTACCAGTCTGCAGATTATTTATCAGTAATGCCTGTCAGAGGGAAACATCGGCGGACAGCCCACAAAAAAAACTCTCTTAAATAAAAACTTCACGCGCAGACTGGAGTGAGAAACCGCGCATGTCTAGTGTTCATTTAGATAATGATGCATCGAAGCAATCAATGAGCACTACTCAGGTCGACTTGAGAACCAGTCTACTAAAAGATTGGCACGATGAGATGAAGTCCAGATGAACTATCCGCGATTGGCCGCAGGTTTGTTGCATCGTGCTGATCGCAGTTATTTCACCATGCTAAGAGGATGCTAATAAGCGTTTCTCAGTTTTCTGCTGTAGTGCTTCTAAAGTTGGTATCTAGTATCCCCGAAGAAACCAGGCTCAAGCGCGATTGTATCACATTTGGCCGAAACCGGTAATGTCATAGACAAGGAGCAAGCCCTCACCATCATATACTGGGTACTGGGAACCGATCACGTCTGCTACGATCGATGCTACTGTTAATCGCATAGGTGATTAGGATCCGACTGCTGGACACACAACTTTGCACGCAGAAGAAACTTGTGCGACACCTGAATTTGAACTTGCCTGACATTGAGGTCCCTTATCTGATTCCCTGACCCATTGACCTATCCCTCACTCAAACTCCCTTTGATTTCTATTTCTTCAAAATACATGTAGCCGCGATCCTAACCTTTTCCACGTGATTTCTGGTACCATATAAATTTTTGATGTATTAACCTAGAGGAACAATCACAAATAACAAGCTTTGTTCGCTAACTTCTTCGTTCTCATTACCTTGATTTTGGCCAAATCATCCACCCGTCAGCCAGTTCTTCTGAAAAACATGGTAGGCGAAGCTTGTTTTCAATCCGAACCACTTTAGTCGTCATCACCAAGTAATCTGGTATAAATGAAGGTATCGGTTGAATTCCGGCTTAAATTTTCCACAAATCATTTTGCTTTAGAGGCCTATTTTGCATTGGCGATGACTAGTCAGTCAAGGATACACCCTCAGAGATGTTTTGTTTCATTGTTTAGAGGTATATCAATCAATGTTGGCACATCCTCGTCTTTGTCAGCTCTACCAGGAAGTTTGAACCCACGAGGTGCCCCAGTGTGTTCATCGGGCCATGCCGCAATCTTCCCCAATACTTTGAAGATGTAGAAAGTGGTCCACACATTTTCGCGCTGACAGAGGCATTTGTTCGTTTCGACGCGGCATTTCCCTCATCAGTGTGATGCCAGTATAGTGTATATCTGAAACATACGCTCTGATTAAAGTAAGGTTCTCAGTGTTTTTGAAACATTCATACTTTGCCTTTTTAGTTCAATGGACGTCTACAGATTTTGTCGCCAGGAAGCTCCATTTTGTTTACTCAGAATCGGTCGTAATTTTGCATACATTCGACTTTCGAAAACGTTAAACAATATTGCAGGATTTTTATCTTCTCGCAGTTAATGAAGCCAAGTAAAGTCTGAAATGGTCCTGAGGAACTTTGACAGCGCGTTGAAACCACAGCCTCTCAAGCATGCAAAGTGCGCACGACTAAACTTAGCGCTTATTAACCTCACTGCAAACATGTTAACGCACACTGTTTTTCGTTGCTGGGACTACTTTTCGCGCAAGGATAACTAGGGATCTTGCAGCGGTCGTCAGCTTCAGGATATTTTATCAGTGAGCGTGTCTCCTTAGTCTCTACCTGTGGAGAAAGGAAACGTTCGCTGCGGAGCTATTTATTGGAAAACACGGACTGAAAAATGACAAACTATTTGATATGAAAGCAAAACTCTCATATGCATTTTGTTTAAAAAAACTGAATAACCGTCTTCTTCCCGAACTCGTCTTCGTGAACTTTCCTGAATATTCATTGACTATCACTCAAATGTAAACAGGTGCCTCAAAGCAATTCCACAAATTCCGTAGTATAACCTCACTTTTCAAGAGACGCGAAGCGGATGTACGGGAAAACCGCATACTACTCGCACGCCTCATCAGTAGTATCCAACGAAACGTAACAGTTTCGCACTGTCGTTCACTTTTTAATCGTGCTTCCCTATTCTGGTTATCATTAACTTTCTGGGGATTGTCAATATGGTCCGCTGAATTTGATCTCCTGGTCATCTTTTGGAGCTTTGTAGTTGAGCGTCAACTAGGGTGATCCTTGGTAAGTTCTAAATTCCAGTACATGATTAGTTGTGTCACCTTGGATTTCGGAGCACATCATTGTTTTCTGGAGTGTAAGCTTCGATAGGCAGCCACGATTTAAAACGTTGCAGTTTTGAATCTTGCGTGGCCACAGAACTACAAGCGGGTGAGAGCAATGGATGGAAACTGGGAGCAGGACCTAACAAGGTGTAGAGATTTTCGCTCAAAAAACCCCATGTTGATCCGTCGAGCAAAAGTCTGAGTTCTCATCCGACGTATTAACTAACTTTTGGAGTGAATCTGAGTCGGACAAAGTCACTATACTGTTGTCGGTCAATACCGGACAAGTATCTTCAAAGTTCTCATAAAGGAAACTACTCACAAGGTTGCTGAAGAGTTTTCAGCAACCTTGTGGGTAGTTTCCTTTATGAAAATATACTGTGATATCTCGAATATCGTGCCAACTGAATAATGAGGCGGCCTATGTGCTGCACACTCAGTTGTAGAATTTCATAAACGAGAGATTCGGTTGAGTCTCTCGTGAAAATTAAATTGATTTGCAATCGATCTTCTAAGTTCATTTACTCAATATATTCTGAAAAATGAGATGAATCTCGGTAACCCTGTCTAATGAATGCCTTACGTGTCTGCCGAGAGTAAGGCAATGATTTATTATGTGCCGCTTGTTAGCACTGTTATTTTTTCCAATGATGGGGTATTGTAGCGTTTTACTCCGACGTAACGAACTAAATGACACGAATCTATACTTTGTTACCAAAATGAAGCAAACTGCAAGGCTGTTGGTTCACAATTGTCAAAGTCCATCAATAAATGTGGCGAACTGAGAGTACTCTGACTAGGTGATCATATTTTTTCAAGGCAAAATGACTGGTTGGGAGTACTGGTCATCTTTCCCTATCGATTTTTCATGAAGGTTATCAGAAAAGGCAACATATATCGTAGTTCGGTGACAAGAAACCACAATAGTGATGTTCTGCTAAATTGTAACCTGCGTCAGTAATTTAAACAGCTTCACCCCAGGGTGGAGAACAGCTGACACTTTTTGTTGTTGTATTCAAGTGTAAATTTGAACACTTCCGATTAGATTAAATCAGACGTCAGTCAGTGCGAAATTTTGGCTCAGTGGAGAGACCGGTGGAGAGAAACCGGTATTTCACGACGACGTTTTGTAAACTAAAATCTGGGGCTTTGAATAGGGAAATAGAGGAGATCGTGTGTCTGAACAGTTGTGACTTTGAACCGACGTGGCAGATGTCCTTTCCTTAGAGAACCACTTTTTGTGAGTTGCTGCAGCTAGGGGTGACCTTAATCGTCCTTCAGAGATCGCACGCATATGCAGCCAAGATTAATCAGTTGATCAGAAGTTCTATAGATGGACAGTTTTCACAACACTTTAAAGTTGTATTTCCACCCGCCTACACCGTTATTTGCACTAGTATCCCAGGTACTCAATCACTGCCACCCAGGTAATTTAGTTGACTAACTGACAAAATCGCCAACTTGTCCCATTACTTCTGGAAAAATGGAAAACCAGATGAAGGCGGGAGACTGTTGTCCTGAATTGAGTATTCTCCCCCAAAGGAAGTGATAGTTTCGAGATAATTCCACGGTGCACAGGTGCCTTAGTTGGCATACGTGGAAACAGCATAAGGCATATAGGTGATGATCCAGCATGCGGCTCCCATGCGGGGTTCGATGGACTGCTGGCGCAGTACGTGAATTTATGAATACAGCTTTTAATTACTAAAAATGTCAGAGGAGGAGAAATTTGGGCCGAAAGACTTTGAAAAGACAGCCACAGATTGAAGAATGGGTTTTTCAAAGTTGGGTCAACTTTTGTACACAAACATGCACTTTCCTTTGGAAAATGTTTGGGACCGATGAGGAATTAATCGTTTCAGAGAGGTTTGGTAAACTGCGCTACGGTTTTACGATTCAAATGAGACAGAACTTTCTTCGTGATTCTTATTTGGGTGTAATAGTTAACGCAAAATCTCTCTTCCACAACAGAATCACGTCTGGCCAAAGATTTCTCTTAATTTATACACATGGACTTTCTTTAACCAAACTGGTATCACAATAGAAACCCCGTCTTTACGATATCAAATCATATTTATATTATATGCTGGCACACATTCAAAAGTTCGGTTCATGTTGCTGAACCCTTTGCGTCATTAAAATTGTTCTTTCTTCCACAAGCCGCCCTCCAGTTATCTGTGCGAAATTTTTCCCAGGTAAACATCGACTTAAAATCTGATTTCTTTAAGCAGCACAAAAGTGGAACTCTTTTCCCACGTATCTAGGACCGTGAGTTTGGAAAGCTCAGGCAGACCAGAGTTGGGTTACATTTGTAGAAAGGCTAGGTGTATGAAATTACGAGTTATGATGGTCGAGCGAGGAAATCTGCTGTTTATCAGCTGAGATTTTTCATCGTACATGAATCGATTTTACATTGAAAAACCCAGGAGCACAGGACGGCTTTTCCACCATTATTTCGGCCCACCAGCGAGGCTCGGACCCTTGACAGCAGTGTGAATAACTCGCGATTTGATAAGGTATATCAAGACTCCCTTGGGTTTCGTTGAAAAATCAGTGCCTTTATTCCGAATAGGACTGAAGCAAAGGCATGGTGACATTCAGCGTCTCAGTATGGAAGGATCTTACAAGTTAGACTATCATTCTGTCTAAGGAAGGCAAGTGAAATTTCAATGGAAGACTTCGTCATGCAAGGAATTAGTCAATAATTGATCACGTGATGTGGTTTCTGTGATTCAAAAATGAATAGAGTTATATCCTACCTAGCTGTGGGTTAATCACACTCCTGATCAGCAACCTGTGGCCCGAAGATTAGTTGTTCAAACTACAAGCAAGGTGCTTGTTGATTCTAGATTCCTTGTAATTCCGTGAAATACTCACTGATGGCGGTTTTACCTAATTGCAGTTTTGGGGCTTTGTGGGATAGGTATCTTGATCATGGTCACACCACCCTCGTCGGTCGTCTTTCTGTTCTGGCGTAATTATTCCAGTGAGTCTACACCAAAGGGAAGCACTGGACTCGAGTTTCGCTCTTATTAGAGCTCATCAGCATTGTATATCCAATGACCGTGCCGGGATTTGAACCTCGGACATCTGACCACTAGTCCACCAAACGCACGTTGACGCATCTGAATGATTACGTCTTAACAGGCGAACGTGTTTACGCTTCGGCGATGTGATTGGTGTACCCGACTCATCGAACGATGGCCAAATAACTGTTCTGGTTGTGGCGATCGATTGATTCGCCAGTCAGGACTTCTCACTCAGGTATCACGACACACGCTTGAAACCCACTGGGCAACTTTTTGGTTGCAGTTTTGGGGTTTTGTGGGATGAATATTTTGTTCTACTTAACAACAAAACAGCCGTGCAATACTCCTCAGCTTTACAGCTTTGAATGGATTTACTTCCAGGACAAAATCTCCATTTTGAACATTGCAATATGTGCGTTATACAGAATTCAAAGATAAGCAAACCTAGAATGCCTTAAAAGGTTTTGTCTCGCATAGGGATTAGCAACGACGAAAGGTATTCTTAGAAACTTTCTCTTTCGGGCTAAGGAATGGTACGCTCAGTGCGCAACTTTCAAGTGGGTCCCGGGAAAGGTGTTGTGACTTGATGAACGATCGTGCAACTCTGTATCGATCGTTTGGCTTCCTGCTCCGCCCACCATGATGTATCAACAGGCATGGTAGCTCTACACAGCCCTTTATGGAGACAAAGGAAAATTATTACAACTGGATTTATGGGGTAGTCACAGAGTGTTTCACAAAGTCGTGCCAGAATCTCCGTTAGGAGGCGAGAAGCGTCGAGGCAAAAGTGCTTGACTTGGATTGGCTGACATTCTGATCAGGGCATGGCTTGGTTTGGCCCGTGCCTTGCACGTGACATATCCGTCCAAAGATGTGTTGTTCGGTTATTAGGGACGGTTGACCTTCGTACAAAAGGTTTATCAAACTGTAAGTATTTTATTTCACTATATGCGGGCCAGGATTCCATTGCCTTTGTGTGCAAATGCCATGAGTAGAAAGAAGCGTATAGTGTTTCAGAATTGTGCTTATTGGTCAAAATAAACAAACGATCAACTAGAGTATTCATGCGAGCGTCAGAAGCACACAGAACCATCACACTTTCGGTTTGGAAACTGTGTTTGTCCCATAGGCGATATGCAATGTGCGGAATTTATGACTAAGGTACGGCAACCCGTGACTTAACCTGATTCACGTTATCTTTGTTTATTCCAAGTAAATGCCGTAGGATTAAGCTGAAAAAAGAGGGTAACGGCAGAGCCAAAAATCGATCCCATCTAGGTAGTTCTAGTCTAGTAAAGGCGTCGAGAAACAATTATGGAACCCAGAATGACACAAAAACATTGCGTAGCTATGTAAGATAAGAAAGAACCCATTTGTGGGCCAGTAGACACTTGGGATTCATAGGTTATTCGTTATAAACTACACGAGGTGGTGAAATATTCATGCTGAATAGTGTTTTTTATCTAGTTTCCCCTAGAGAGACAAGATACTATGCAGTTCATTCAACTTGACGGAGTCATGTTTCCCGGTTTGGCTTCCACTTTTAGCGAGAATCGGCCTAAAGTGCGTTTGTGTCCACCCAGTTAAGGCTGTAAGTTCGCCAAACTAACGGCTTCAGAGCATTATGTGCGTTGATTCTCGGATAGAATAAACTGCCCTGAATGATGAAAGTGGAGCAAACCCAACACAGAATGTGACTGTTTCCAGGTTGTACCGAACTTGTCGAACTTGCTTCAGACTGTCTTGTCACTGATACTCCGTTTCCATTTGTAAAAACCATTTGTGCGTAAAGTGGCATTTAGTAGGTGAGTTTCGACCAGCGTACAAAACGCTGAGTGTCCCTCTGGGTAAGGCTTGCCTACAAGTAAAAATAAACTGATGAATTAGCTGCATTTCTGGGAACTATATGGTTGGCATGCGGTGTTCCGTTCTCCAAGAAACAGGTTAACTTCCAGGGCGTTTGAACAAGTCCTACATCATGATTTTTACGTACACCACTGCAAACGCAGATTTTATCTTGTTTGTACGTTTGTGCCCGAAGTGTTGGATGTTCACACTAGTAGCCCGGATGTCGCGGGTGCAAGACTCCCTGGAGTTTCGTCAGATGCGCACGGGGGATGATTTTCAGTGAGCTGTACGGCGTTTCTCCGCTACGCACGATAGTTCGGCTTCACCGGGAGGACATAAATCCTGTCAAAAGTATGCCAAATCTCCCCACACTATCAAGAATACAGCATTACTGTATTGTCGTTGTAGAATGCCCCAAAACATCCTGTAGCAAACAGCCAGCATTTGAAGTCGAACTTGTCCAACAAATTCGAGGGGTTAAATTTGACTTTGGAACTTCTGAGTTTGAATAGGCTTGGCTGATATTTTGTTTTAATTCTCATCCACCCGGCATTTTCGTAGTGTCCAATATGGCCCTGATTGGTGAGCACACAATGTCAAATAGTACGTTTATCAGTCCACGTGTCGATCAATAATTTTTAACGCTTCCAGTTGAGTGAGTTTTACTCAGGTAGCTATTAATTATGATTCTGAGCACATCAGCCGTCTTACAGATATATCGAAGTTTATGCGATATGGCAAGTGAACCAAAGTGACCCAGAAACTTCGAGAATATCCCCCGGTTATGAGGTTTTATTTCCTTGAGCAAGTCACATATACGTTCCACTTTCCTTTAAAAATTTTGCAGGAAAAGTGAATGTCGTTCTTCAGCCTTAACTAAATTTGAATCCGGTCCTGTAGCTGTCAGAATCTCTTCAAAACTGTACAAAAAACATATAAACCTGAAGTATTTTGGATTAGCATATGTACGCTGCTACAGATGCAATACGGCTCATTCATGCAAAGAATATTGGTCAAAGAAATGAAATATCAGCTGAGATACACATCTTGTGTGGCTTGTTTCTTTCAAGCTCTATGCAGAAGCCTGGGTACGAGAAGCTGAAAGGTGTATGTATACATGGAACCAAAGGGTCAGTATGCCATGAGTAAAATTCTTGATGCCTCATGCTTGATGAACCATGAAAGTAACACTGTGTCACGCCGCCCCTAATTCAGAATTGGAAATACCCGCACACCTAAAATGGCAATTCCACTTCGGAGAAAGATGTTCGATACATACTCTGAGGTAGACCAGCACACCGTAGTCAGCTGACCAAATTTCTCCTCGGTGAGCACCGTTCCACCAGATTAATTGGCGTTTCATTGGATTGATCCGTTCTAAAACGTTTGTCTTTCAATGACATTGGAACCAAAGTTACTTGAGTGATTTACGGGTCACTTCATTCTGATTAGTAGATACCATGAAGTGTGACCGTCCTTGAAAACTTGTGAATATTTTTCAGTCATTTGCAAACCAATTGAGAGGGTAACTTCACCCGGCCAAATCTAAGAAACCTATTCGGCTTCAGAAACATACCATAAGACAATCTCACAAATATTGGCATGTTCCAAAAACCAACAGAATTTCCACGGTCTACAATACAACGCTGATTGCAGAGTTTATATAACTCAAAGTTTTGGTCAGCGTAACTTACCTTTGTCGGAAACAAGATAATGGGGACTACAAAGGACGAGGAAAGCTTTCGATGTGCGATCAACCTTCAAGGTAATTTTCTTTTGGTCAAGATGTGACAATCGCATGCGTGGGCTGAAACTGGGGTCAGCTTATCTTGCCGTTGGTTGCTATTCACGGGCCCGTGCACAGTAATACGCAAAGATGAATGTACTATTGTCTTGAATCTGCTATAAATCCGTAAGTACCAGACCTTCAGGTAATCTCGCAGTCAGTCGATTGCCGGCCCAAGCACGGCGTAGTTAGGTCGGACAGTAGCCTTGCACCAAATGCTGAGGCGGTGGTCTCATTCGTCGTTGCTCATAGGTCTTCCCCAAAGCACCATAAAATCGTGTCTGTTGGCATTAGACAGGACAAAGCTTTTTGGTTTTTTCTTCTGGAGATACATCTCTCTCCGGAATGACGCTATCAATTGAAGCCCAGCATCTGGTGTAAAAAATGCAAGTGCATTTTAATTGATTGAGCACCGTAGACTGGCTGCTCCATCTTTATCCAGTTCTTATGAGTTTTTCGCAAGGAAGTATGGAACTTTCTATTCGTAAAGCAGTCGCCGTACAAAACGCCGCCAACCTTCAACCGCAGTTTACAGTTAAGACGGTTCACGGAGGATACTGAAGGAATTTAGCCTACAATTCATACGGTTTAAGGGACGAAAATGTCAAATGATTGTTGGATCATTCTAGGATGTACACACATTTCCAAAGAGGATGGTTCAACGTAGGTGTTTGGTCATCTGACTTTAAGACAGGTTGGTGNGCTGCTACAGATGCAATACGGCTCATTCATGCAAAGAATATTGGTCAAAGAAATGAAATATCAGCTGAGATACACATCTTGTGTGGCTTGTTTCTTTCAAGCTCTATGCAGAAGCCTGGGTACGAGAAGCTGAAAGGTGTATGTATACATGGAACCAAAGGGTCAGTATGCCATGAGTAAAATTCTTGATGCCTCATGCTTGATGAACCATGAAAGTAACACTGTGTCACGCCGCCCCTAATTCAGAATTGGAAATACCCGCACACCTAAAATGGCAATTCCACTTCGGAGAAAGATGTTCGATACATACTCTGAGGTAGACCAGCACACCGTAGTCAGCTGACCAAATTTCTCCTCGGTGAGCACCGTTCCACCAGATTACTTGGCGTTTCATTGGATTGATCCGTTCTAAAACGTTTGTCTTTCAATGACATTGGAACCAAAGTTACTTGAGTGATTTACGGGTCACTTCATTCTGATTAGTAGATACCATGAAGTGTGACCGTCCTTGAAAACTTGTGAATATTTTTCAGTCATTTGCAAACCAATTGAGAGGGTAACTTCACCCGGCCAAATCTAAGAAACCTATTCGGCTTCAGAAACATACCATAAGACAATCTCACAAATATTGGCATGTTCCAAAAACCAACAGAATTTCCACGGTCTACAATACAACGCTGATTGCAGAGTTTATATAACTCAAAGTTTTGGTCAGCGTAACTTACCTTTGTCGGAAACAAGATAATGGGGACTACAAAGGACGAGGAAAGCTTTCGATGTGCGATCAACCTTCAAGGTAATTTTCTTTTGGTCAAGATGTGACAATCGCATGCGTGGGCTGAAACTGGGGTCAGCTTATCTTGCCGTTGGTTGCTATTCACGGGCCCGTGCACAGTAATACGCAAAGATGAATGTACTATTGTCTTGAATCTGCTATAAATCCGTAAGTACCAGACCTTCAGGTAATCTCGCAGTCAGTCGATTGCCGGCCCAAGCACGGCGTAGTTAGGTCGGACAGTAGCCTTGCACCAAATGCTGAGGCGGTGGTCTCATTCGTCATTGCTCATAGGTCTTCCCCAAAGTACCATAAAATCGTGTCTGTTGGCATTAGACAGGACAAAGCTTTTTGGTTTTTTCTTCTGGAGATACATCTCTCTCCGGAATGACGCTATCAATTGAAGCCCAGCATCTGGTGTAAAAAATGCAAGTGCATTTTAATTGATTGAGCACCGTAGACTGGCTGCTCCATCTTTATCCAGTTCTTATGAGTTTTTCGCAAGGAAGTATGGAACTTTCTATTCGTAAAGCAGTCGCCGTACAAAACGCCGCCAACCTTCAACCGCAGTTTACAGTTAAGACGGTTCACGGAGGATACTGAAGGAATTTAGCCTACAATTCATACGGTTTAAGGGACGAAAATGTCAAATGATTGTTGGATCATTCTAGGATGTACACACATTTCCAAAGAGGATGGTTCAACGTAGGTGTTTGGTCATCTGACTTTAAGACAGGTTGGTGGTCCGAGACCATGAAACAGTTCATTTTACGCGTCACATGACTAGAGGAATGCATCGCAAAAACGCCCCTTTCGCACTCTGCACTGGGAGATCTTTGTTTAAATAGTGCAAAATATTACGTTTCTGTCAATAAAAGGCTTCTTTAAAGCAACTCTGGGTGATATTTCTGGTCCTCGATGAGGAAGAATCGGACCAGAAAGCAAACTGGACAGCTTGCGAAATTGTATAGAAGATAATTCAGGCATTCTCAAGAATAAGGTTTTAACTACAACACCTGTTGTCGACAGATAATCATGTAGGTACTGAGTTTGCGTATGTTTCATTCAACTGGAATCCAAGAAGTGGGAATAAGGCATAGATGGGATAGACAGAAAGAACGACAGTCGACAGATGCGACATTTTTGAGGTGAAGAATGTGTCAAATGCATCTCGTCTAGAAAAAACATTGACGCTGATGATTTCTGTCGAGGTGGACATGCAAATGAAGCTGTTTGCAATGTTCTTTTGCTGCAGTTGTTTGGAAATCGCCACATTGAAACCAAATCTAATACATTTAACAAGCCCCCGATGATTGTCTTTAGATTAGTTGTGGCACCAAGTACATCTTTTGTTTGCGAAGCGGTTGAACAGGATGTGATGAGAGGCGATTTTACCGAGTGAACTGTGTGACTGAGATGCAACTGGGTAGACCACAGATGTACACAAAGCACTCATCAGTCACTCGTGGAAAACAGGTTTACATTGGGTAAAGAGAGCTTTTTTTTAAATAAAAGGATAGATGACGTCTCTATGAACCTGGGGAATATTAGCGGAACCCATAGAGGACCTGCACAAGTTTGAACGTCGAATTAGGTTTCCCGAAATCCGGAGCACCAGATTGCCACACCAGATGTACTTTTTGTCCAGCAAACCTTCAGAACAACTAGGATGGTGATTGGATAGCACTCCACATGACTGAACAGATGATTTTAAAGCGAACATTGTCACAGTAAATGTCGGAATATATTGGAGCGATATTTCACAGTTTCGTTGCGTCACCACCAGCGCAGTGGATTTCTGGTGCGTGAATTCCGGCGATAACGTCAGCTGACCACTTTGGAATGCCTCCAGCAATAGGGTGGTCGAGCAACGGTTATCTTCAGACGAATAGATGGGATGTGTAGATTACTTTGGTAAACAATCGGTATATTTGCTTGGACTGTATCGCAAAAAAGAGGTGTGCGCATTTGGGCATCAGATTTAAAGCTTAACTTGGTCAGACAAACTTTACATTGAACAGCTCCATCCAATGACCCTGCTCACGTGACTGCAAGATTACGTGGTTAAGCACGTGTCCATCAGTTAGCATTCTTTTTTCGGTGAACTGGTTAGTTTTAGTTATCCGACATTAGAAGATACACATACAGACTGTAAAAATACTTCAAACCTGCTTATTAGACATTCTCATCAATATAGCAATCGGACAAGTCTGTTGATATGTTGGCAGACGGTGTACAATTGCGTGTTTCGCTGTGTCAAGTAAATTATTTGATTGAATCTAATCTAGTAGTTCACGCTGGTGGATTTGATGAGTGGTGCGTTAGTTCCTACTAAGATGATTATATATCTGGTCGGATCGTTCATAAGCCATTGGATTGAATAAGTTGGACCTAGTGATTCCGACGTTCTGATCGAAATATCCGGCTTTAAGCTGGTTCATCTACAAGTAGTATACCTATTAATGCGGCCACATTTTAATATGCTCTGTTCTCGAAGCCACGAACAATGGTACATTAGCACGGTTGTGACCAGATAATGACTGTTCTGTCGGCGGCTTTCTAGTCAGTGAGTGCAACTCAGTTCATGCATCGCCATCGGTGCGGACTGATTCGTTTACGTTCTGATTACTCTCGGGACGTCACAGGCGACTGATTTTGAACTGGCTGTTCACGCGCAAAGAACCTGGCTACTGTGATTCACTTGTGGATTGTGCGTTGTATGCGGCGTTCAGGTTGGATACAGACATACCTATGATTGTGACCCACAAGTAGAGGATTCTCTCCGTCAGCATACTAAAACCGTCCCTAGCCACTGGCCTGCCCAAGCAAATCGATCAGGTTCATTCCACGCAGTTATGCACAAACCGCACGTTTTAGCTGTCGTAAGTCAGACGACACGGTTACTCGGTGAGGTGAAGTTCGTGAATGATGCTCTAATTGTCGGCACGCAAATTTCTTAGAACGAAGCGTGTTGCTAGGGTTCACAATGCACCTATTAAGGGTATGGGTGGCGGTATGCACGTAGCAGTCCAATGAACTAGAGTAAATTTCCTATGGTCGCAGAGTTTTTTGCTAACCAAGGGACAACCGCTGTCTAATTAGGACAGCGATAGGTTTTAAGACTCGCTTAACGATGGACATGTTCATCTGACCTACGATGAAGTAGGCTAGACTACATCTTCCGAGTTGATTGAGTGCGAAACGTCCATTTTCTAGGGTGATCTCCACAAATGCTTTTGGTCGAATTTGTTTAGTTCCCACTATCTGTCGCCAGACTTATAATAATCAAACGCCTTCTTATAAATCCTACTAATTTACCGTAAGATACACTGTGTTGAATGTCCCGCTACTGTATGCAAATTGCAGAACTTATTCCGATGAACCGGATTTGAATAAAGCTGTTTGATCATGTTGTTCATAAATTTCAAGTCCGCAATTTTGAATTTCTCAAAACGTTCCCCAAATTTTGATTTGTGAGCTTACGGAATATCACGTTTTAAAACAGATCACAGTGCAGAAGATCACAATTGGCAGCAGGTGGAAAAGTCCACATGAACTTTAATTTGGGCTATTCCGAAATACTTCTAACCACGGTGAGTTGCCAAAAAAGAAAATTATCATTATTTGGGTTTTGCGGGATAGGTATTTTGTTCGTCGTCACACCACTCTTGTTTGAACAGCCGTGTTCCTGTTCCGGCGTAATTATTCCGGTGAGTCCACACCAAAGGGGGGAAGCACTGGACTCGAGTTACAAGCGTGTGCCACGCTACCTGACTGGGAATTACTGACTGGCTGGTCAATCGATCGTCGCAACCAGAACAGTTACTGGGTCGTCGTTCGATGAGTCGGGCACACCAATCACAAACGCTCAAGTGTGAACACGTTCGCCTGTTCAGACGTGATAATACAGATGCGTCCAACGTGCGTTGGTGGTCTAGTTGTTACACGCTCGCCTCGCATGTCAGATGTCCGGGGTTCAAATCCCGGCACAGCCATTGGATATGCACTGCTGATGAGCTCCAACAAGAGCGAAACTCGAGTCCAGTGCTTCCCTTTGGTGTGGACTCACCGGAATAATTACGCCAGAACAGGAACACGACCGTTCAAACGAGAGTGGTGTGACTATGAACAAAATTATCATTACTTTCCCGGAAAAACGAATCAACTAAAGTGGACCACATCATTTTGAGTTCTATATCTTACATACTAATTTTTGTAAAGCTATATGTCATGAATGAGGTTGACTAATAGCGCACGTTGTTGTTGGTCACTTTACAGAGATACAAGCAGTCCCCCTGGGAGACCAGTTGATAACTCACACCCTGAAAGCGCACTGGACTACGGGCGAGTACAACCTACGTACCGCATAAATGAAGTTGTTTTCAAGGGTGACATCGATTAGCCGCCCTTTCTTGCAACAATTCGCACCCTGAATGCGCACTGGACTACGGGCGAGTACAAACTACGTACCGCATAGATGAAGTTGTTTTCAAGGAACAGATCACGGGCATTTCAGTTTCATCTGACAAGCGAAGTAGATTCTTCAGCGCAGAGGAAACTGTTAGCCATTACCTAAAACTGAAACGTGTTCCCTGAATGCAAAATTTTCCCCATATCAACAAAAGATTTTTGTGAGCACAAAAAATGCACAGCCTTATACCTAGACAGCTTGCGGAATTTTCCATTATGAATTAGTCTTTGGTTCCTGGTGTGTTTAAAATAGGGATTTTTGTCTTAAAATAAAATATTGAAAATTCCAAACTTGTTACCTTCTTTGTAATATTACCAGTTTGGAGATTTCCTAAAGGCGACAATTTCGGAAGGCTAGGTTGCTCATCTGTCCACTGGATTTCTCGCCGATGTTAGCAGTGTTCCTGAAGGGAAAATCATTGTTCGTTGTGGTGAGATCCTTTGTGAATTGTTGTGAAGCTGTGATGCAATTCTGACTCGGCCACCATATGGTCTGCATTGGGATATCCAACAAGGTTCGCGAAATTCTGGTTTTTCAAAGGTTGTTACAATTAATCTCGGTGAGTTGAATGCGGAACAGCGTCACACGGTTGTAACAACTTGAAAAGACGTCAATTTCTATCAATAAGAAGTAGGATAATCCTTCTGCGCTCCGCATTTGCATAATAAACGAAAGTCAACTGCATAGTCAACTGCAGTAGTCTCATTGACATTGGTTATATTTACTTCGCAAACAGGATTCTGGTTTTCACGTAGACCGTTCGTTTTGACTATGGGTCCAAAATTGTTCTACTGAATCAGTTTTACCTGTAATCGGTGATTTGGCAAAGGCAGCACCGTGGGCAACCATTAACGATTCTTGGGGTTTTGTAACCTTTGCAAATCAAAAAAGCATACCAACAAGTACACCCAGTTATTTTTCTAATATGTCGCTCCGCTGGACACATGATATCATGGAACCAATTATCATCTGCTCAATGTTTCATCGTGGAAATTCCGTTCCTTGTTTTAAGTTTTCTTCGAAAGGTGTTTAGAACCAAACTTTATTAGTTTCATTTGCGGACCAGCACAACAAATTTGCAGCACAAAGGACAAACGTTCTAGGCGAAAATTCATAGAATGATGTCTTAGGATTTGGGGAAAATGTCAAATGCTTTCCATTCTGGATTTGGCTCAACGACCTGGCGTTTTGATATTATTCCTTCCTAATTAATTAGCGATTCAGTCAATAACATACTTAGCTTGTTTCTTAAACACCTTGTCTGCCGGATAAGAACGCATTTTTATTTATGCTAGATTATTTAGTTTTGATAAATGAACGAATTTCAAACAAGAAGACCAAAACTAATGGAATATTTGGCCCACAACCAACACATTCATAAGAAATTCATAGTATTGCTGAAACACAAATATGTTCATTCCAATCATAAAAGTACTAACACGGGCGAAAGCGAGCTATCTTCAATTGCGCGTAAAAGATTAATCGATATTTCACTAAATTCTGTGCTTTCATGGTCAGATGAAGGAATGTTGGCTGGGAAGCAACGTAGTTTTGTTCTCGATTTTGGTAGAATAACCGGTTGGTTTTTTGGCACACATTCACATGTTTTGTTTGAAAGAAACAAAATGAGTTCAAGACGAGTTCACTAGAAAGTCAGATTATGAGCCGTAGAACATGAGGATCAATTTCCTTTATAGGTCTTGCATCGATAACTAGTGTGCTGTTTTCTAAAGAAGCACAATCTGCTTGTCGCATTGAAGGTTGATAGGATATCCTCAATGACATTTTGACTTCAAAAATAATGCTAAACCCATCCAGCGTTTCACAAATCCGGGGTGATCTTTTTGAGCTTTAGTGAATTCGCGTTTTTCATTCAGGTGAGGGTTGCCACCGCAGTCCTTAGTCGCGATGAGTTTACTGCCTAATTTGCTAGATATACTGCTGTTTTATTGCCCAAAATTCTTTTCAGTGCTCTGCACTCTTAAATGACGCTAAAACTAAAATTAACCCATGGTGTTCGCTCTGCAGATTTGCCATTGTGGGTTGCTATCGCGTAACATCTAGTAAACGTCTCTCTGACCAGAAAAATTGTCCAAACTTTGTTCCATCAAGCGTAAATGCTTCACGCACGTCTATTCATATTCAGAACGAGATGTGGTGAGATAAACTGGTGCTTATTTGATGTGATCGTAAGCGTTTACTGAGTTATGAAACATATATGCAACCGTGAAAAGTTTATCTAAGCTGGTGATATGTATCTGCCATAACTCGTCTATTTACCTGATATTATGCAAACATAAGGTAATGTTTCATATCTGTAAAAGTCATCAGACCGTTTTTCCCAAATTGAAATTTGCGGGTTTCTCACCGTTCTGAAAATTTAATAATCGTAATGTGTTTTTGTTGCGACAAACTCTCCTGAATGTCTGTCAAAAATTATACTTCAATGTACTTACAGGCACCGCTTGTACATACTTTTAACGGAGCTTCACACAGTGGCTCTGAAATGATATTGATCTTGCTTGGTAAAAACAATTGTTTTACACACTCTTGTATTCCTGATAATTCCACGATTTTATGTAAAATTGTTGCCAGGCAAGTTAGTTTGAATTGTACAGCATCGAGCGCAAAGTTCAAAATGTCAGGCGCACAAACAAGATGACAGTTTGCTGTGTGGTCGTCACTTAGGAAGCTGACATACGAGCAAAGTGGTTTGGATGTGCAGATGCTTCGCGGCCGACAGGCTTCCGAAATCAACCGTTTTGATGCACACTGCACAAGCAGCGCAACACCGTCAATACAGTGGAATTACGCCTATCAAATATTTACGAACTAACAACTGGGGATTCACGCATTTCGGGCTTTTCGATTGGTCAGCTACCAACAAAACCCGTTGAGCAGAAAGCCATTAGAACGAGCTGAAAGCCAGCTGCAAAAATTTGTGCACAGTGCACCTAGTTCGGTACCCTGTAGATTACGTTAATGCACAGTTAAAATGTTTTTTGCACATCTGTTTGATGTATTGCTGGGTGGCATAATCCTCGTGGCCAATAGACTCATAAAAGTCCAGAAACTTCAATTTTCTCCTCCGGAGAACCTTTGATTCGCTTACATTAACTTTCTACTTGAATAAAATTTGATCCAAAGGCTAGCAACTTAAATATGCAAATTTTAACACAATCTGACATACACATTGATATGTTTCTTCATAAATACCAGATTCTTTTGAAGCCTCTTTGGCGTGAAATGTACAGTATGCAACAATAGCTTATAAGTCACAAGTAAACCAAGAAAAATCTGCCAAGTTGGTAACTGTATATG